TAGAAACATCAATGATGAAACAGTCATCCATCAGCTGCCTCCTGCATGCCCCCTACTGGGGATTGAGACAGAAACCTGGGCATGTGCCCTTACCTGGAAATTCTTAACCAAAGATTAACAAATAGAATTCAGCAATATATGAAAGTAATTATACACCATATCCAAATGAGATTTATTTCAGATTTATTGCAGGCTGGTTCAGTATTTGAAAATTAATTGAGCTCTGGCCGGGTAGCTCAGTTGGTTAGAGTGCCAAGGTTGCAGGTTCCATCCCGAGTCAGATCATATATAGGAATCAACCAATGAATACATGAGTGGGTGGAACAATAAAACAATGTTTCTCTTTCTCTCTTCCTTCCTCTCTCTCAATCAATCAAATAAAAAATTTAGAAAAAAAATCAATGAGTGGTGCTGGGAAAATTGGACAGATACATGCAAAAGAATGAAACTAGACCACCAACTTTCTCCATACACAAAAATAAACTCAAAATGGATAAAAGACTTAAATGTAAGTCATGAAACCATAAAAATCCTGGAAGAAAACAGGCAGTAAAGTCACAGACATCCCACGTAGTGGACTTTTCACTGATACATCTCCTAGGGCAAGAGAAACAAAAGAAAAAATAAACATATGGGACCGCATCAAACTAAAAAGCTTCTGTACAGCAAAAGAAAACAGCCTCAAAATACAAAGGAACACCACGGTCTGGGAAAACATATTTGCCAAGGATGTATCTGATAAGGGGCTGATTTCCAAAGTGTACAAAGAACTCATATTACTCAGCAAGAGGAAGACAGACAACCCAGTTAAGAAATGGGCAAAGGACTTGAATAGACACTTCTCCAAAGAGGACATACAGATGCCAACAGACACATGAGAAAATGCTCAACCTCACTAATCATCAGAGAGATGCAAATTAAAACCACAATGAGCTATCACTTCACACCTGTCAGAATGGCTCCATCAACAAATCAACAAACGACATGTGCTGGCGAGGGTGTGGAGAAAGGGGAACCTAGTACACTGCTGGTGGGGATGCAGACTGGTGCAGCCACTGTGGAAAACAGTATGGAGGTTCTTGAAATGGAGCTGCCTTTGGACCCAGTGATTCCACTCCTAGGAATGTATCCTAAGAATCCTGAAACATTAATCAGAAAGAATATAAGCACCCCGATGTTCATAGCAGCACAGTTTATAATAGCTAAGATCTGGAAACAGCCCAAGTGCCCATCAGTAGATGAGTAGATAAAAAAGCTGCGGGACATTTACACCATGGAATACTACACAGCTGTAAAGAAGAAGAATCTCGTACCCTTTGGACATTTACACCATGGAATACTACACAGCTGTAAAGAAGAAGAATCTTGTACCCTTTGGGACAGTATGGATGGACCTGGAGAATATTATGCTAAGTGAAATAAGCCAGGCAGCGAAAGACAAACATCACATGATCTCGCTTATACGTGGAATCTAAAGAACTTAATCAACAGAATAGATTCAATGACATGGAAGCATAGATGAGACTGACAAATGTCAGAGGGATGGAGGAGGGTGGGTGGGTGGAGGGGGAGAGAGTAACCAAAGAATTTATATGCATATATGCACAACCCAAGGTCTGGGACAATGGTGGGGAGAGGGACTAAGGAGGGGGATGGGACGGGGTGGAACAGGTCGTTGGGGAGAAAAAGAGACATCCGTAATATTTTAAACAAAAATAAAATTAAAATAAATAAATAAATAAATAAATTAATTAATTAAAAAAATAAAAATAAAGAAAGAAATTGCCTTGAGGCCCCTGCAGCTGAGAGTAGAATTGGGAAGGAGCAATATGGTCAGTGATCCTGGCAAGAATTCCCTTCCATAGGATCTGCTGGTATGTTTTATTTTTTAATTTTTTTTTTTATCTACACCTGAGGACATTTTTTTCCCATTGCTTTTCAGAGAGAGTGGAAGGGGGAGAGAGAGAGAAACATCGATGTGAGGGAGACACATCGATTGGTTGCCTCTTGCATGTGCCCCAACTGGGGCAGGGGATTGAGCCTGCAACTGAGGTACGTGCCCTTGACTGGGAATTGAACCCCAAGACCCTTCAGTCCATGGGCCGACACTCTAACTAATGAGCCAAACTTGCTAGGGCTATTGGTATGTATTTTGGTGAGAGGTGGGCAGAGGGACAAATAGGTAGGCTATGCAGTCCTGTCGGAGAGGAATGGGTCGTAGAGCACCTAGGCTGAGGATGACTTGGTTCCCTTTTAAAAAGGTAATTTTGGGGAAAATTGAACTTGCTATGACTGAGAGACAGGTAGACTCATGCATGAAGTCTGTTGATTATTTATTTTTAAAGTTTCACATTTATATGGTTGACCATGCTTAGACTATCTCTGGAATTAGGTAACAAATGTTTTGGGGAGGAGAACTGAATGGCCGAAGGACAGGGAAATTTATCTTGATTTCTGTATTATATGCATGTATTATCTATTCACAAGAATGAATTAATTTAAAATTAACTGGTGGCCAGATTTCCCATAAGGCTGAGAAAGTACTATTTTGCTCAGGTTTTTGCTTGCAGGTTTTAGTCGAGAAAATTGCGACCTTCCCACCTTTGCCATTGGGCCTACAGATGGCCCTGGCACGTGGGTTATGCTTTTACACGTATGCATGACACAGTGAGAGTGGCAGTGGGCTGAGAAAGGACTTGGGTTCTGGTCCTAAGTCTCACTAAAGAGTTGTGACCTTGGACAAGCTCAACTATTTCCCTGGGCTTCAGGTTCCTTATTTGCAAAACAAAACACTTGTTCTCTAATGTTCTTGGTAATTTTAACAATTACGAACCGTCCTGTTTTCTTTTGCCCCCCACATTTGGGAGGGGTGCTCCTGAGTAAGCAATGGTTAAGCGGGCGAGGCTAAGGGGGGTACAAAGACGACGAGCAGGCGACGCCCCTCAGTTTTTTAGCACCAAGCGGCGGCCGCAGCGGTTGTGCGGCCCCGGGAGGTCCCCGAGGGTGCTTCTCACTGCGCACCCCGGGGCCTGGGGTAGAGCTAGTCGGTGCTCAACAAACAGGGAGTGAACGTGGGGAGGAAATGAGTGACAGGTGGACAGGGCGCTGCGCGACTACCTACCAATTCCTGCAAAAACGACAAACGCGCCTCTTTTCCCCCCGAGGCTTCAAGGCGGCTTCCGGAGCGCGACCCGCCCGCAGCTCCGGCCGAAGGCCCTCGGGTCTCCCTGGGCCCACAGGCCCG